ATATATATATATATATTAATAATTGGAAAAGTCACATACTGGAAATTGGAAAGCAGGGATAGACAAATATAAATGTCAAAAAATGGAGGACTTTACAATACAAAGTTATTTACACAGAAAGACAGAAGGTGTCTTGCAGGTGTAGAGCGATACACAGCTGTTGGTGGCTCAAGACAAAGAGCCTGCCTTTCCTCCCTCTGCCCACCTTTCATCTGTATTTACAAGCCAAACCATCGTTCTTCTTATATACATCTTTTACAAAGAAAATACTCAACAGAGCAAAACTGCCACTGTCTAAGCAGCAGGCGGGAGGGACACATGCTTATTTACGGCAAAACTCTCCTTGACCCTCCCTCCCCCCCAGTTGCACCGAGGACAGGATGCAAGCAGCTTCTAGGCCAAGGGGTTGGAAAACTTCACTTCCCAGACCTGGGAGTGTATTCTCAGCTGGGGCTGATCCAGGGCTGACGACAAGGTCAAATAAGAGAAGGCAACCTTTTTTTTTTTTTTTTTTAATTTTCTAAGTCTCTGACCGGCCTTCAACTGTCAAATCAATGGAAATGTTCCATTTGTGTTACAGACAGTGGCTCCATGCAACAGTATGGAAGAGGGGTGCTGGATTGCACGCAGAGCTGTTGGCGGGTCCTGGGACAAGGCAGCATTGTTTAGGGATTGTGCATGTAACCCAAGAAGGCACACAGGGCTTCCCCCACAAGTTTTTTTTAAAAAAAAAATACAAACCCCAAGAAGTTGTCCCAAGTTCAGAGAGAATTACATGGCAATTCTTAATGTCCTGGTAACCTCTAAACTTAAAGGAAATGAGAGGGAAAGGGCACATACAGTGCTTTTCAGTCTCCAACCACTGGGCTAACATTTTAAAACACTCTTCTGGAAATGTTTCTGGAAATGTTCCTGCAATCTTCCCTCCGGACGGAAGGTGGCAGAACATTCACTCTGCGAGTTTTTCTCTCCCTCCGAGGAAGATAAATGGTGATGGTGGTGGTGGTAGGGAGGAGGAGGAGAAACCCAAACAAAGACACTCTCCGCCAGAGAAAGCACCGTTTGGTTCATGGTGGCTTCCCTCCACCTTGTCCTCAGAATGGCAGTGTGTCCATGAATATTTTATCCACAATGGGAGGAGGGGGCACCAGGTCTTCTAGCTTCAAGTAGAAGATGCGCTGTAGGCCTTGAGTGCAAAGGGTGCGGAGCTCAGGAAGTTTGCCCAATAACTTCGAGAGGCAGTTTGGATGTACCTGCTCATTGGCGATGGAAGTCACATGGTCCTTAAGGCAATTGACAATGCGGTTCTGGAGGTCTTCAACTTTCTTTGGCTCCTTTAGCCCATGGCGGTCTGGTTTAGAAGAAGTCATTAAAGAAAGCAACAAAAGTCTTATTTTAAAGTATACAGATAAGCAACCTTCTCTGGAATGCATTATAAAGCTCTCTATCCCTCACGTTTTGCTGTGGAAACTAATGGGAAACAGTGGTTTCAACAGAAACTTTCTCTCTTATAGAAATCTATGCCTCAGTAGCTACATCAGAACAATCCTGCCTTGTGTTTCACAAAGAATAAACACAAAGGCAAGCAATATGGGGCCTTCCTTTGGACACATCAGCTTCATCACATAAGGACAAGTATACAAAAGTTGGGATTCTATGAATTTTTTTCAGGGATCTCCAACAAATGCTACTTGAACCACGTGGTCCGTGATGACTAAGTTGATTATTTTTGACCTCACTAATACTATATCCTATTCCAGGGACAGAATGTTTGGTCCTCCTAATGTTACTGAACTGCAGTTCCAGACAGTTATGATTAATGATGAGGGATGCTGAGGTTGCTATTTAGCACCTGAAACAACTGGGTGGACACACATTTCACATGCCTGAATAACACTTTTTCTGAAGACATCTATATTACAGGTGTGAGTTAAAATATATTTTCACAGATATCTGGAGTCCCCTTCAATAACATCTTGCAATTCTGGCTCATTATATCGCTTAGACTCTCTGAATTTCCATATCCCTACAAGTAGTAGTTGTTTGATCTTCCTAGGATTTGCCACCCCCCACCCCAATATTTCCTGCTTGCATGTCTCTCTGTCTGGTTGCCTGTCTGTTTTTCTCAGGAGTCCTCCTGTCTACCTACCTGTAATTATGACAAGTGCTGCAAGACAGGAGAAGGAGGGTACATCGATATTCATGCGGTGGAGGTTCTGGGAAAATTCAATGATGGAATCTATCCATTCCCCAAAACCCCGGACACACTGCATACGATGCAGCACAACACCATTACAGAAGATAAGTTTGCCTTCTTCTGGCTTGGATCTGCAAGAGACACAAAACATTGTGTAGTCAGGGAAGGTGGCCAGAAATGTACATCTGGAAGGAAATCTGGTAGTAGTGGCAGAACCATACAGAAGATCCCACATTCAATTCCTGGCCTCTCCAAGAAGGACTAAAATCAACCTATCACCATAGACAATACGGATTAAGGTGGACAGTTAAGTGTACAGCATTTCTGTCCTTACAAATTATGACTGGGAAGGGCAGCCCACTGAATCCAAGCAAGTGTGGGTTGATTGTGTTATAATTATATTTTTATTTTGCTGCTTCTCAAAATTAATTCAGAGCAGCAAATATAGCTCTTGCATGCATCAACAGATGCTCTATTTTATTCTCACAGCTACACTGTGAAGTGGCTAACCCAAGCAGGTGTCATGAAGCCAAGATAAGCTTCATAGCCAAGCAGTTTTAAGCCTTGGGTCCCCTGGTCAAAATCTGACATGCTATCCAGTTTATCATCTCAACATATTTCTTTTCTCACCTCAAAGGATTTCCTTGCTACTTTGAAGATTGCTCTTACTTTGATACCTGCAGCCCCTGCAGGTCTTCCATCTCTAACACCCTATTGATTTATTTAGTTACACACACACAAATCATTTTTATTTTAAAAATCCTGAATGAGCTTACATTAGTTATACGAGCATATGATAAAAGCAAGATACAATCAGATTTTTAAGAATCCTTTAAAACATCCTCGCCCTAACACAACGCCCACAGGCCCTGCCCTTTTACTGAAGCAGGAGAGTGAGTCTGTTCTTATTGGTGTCACTGGCCATGGTGAGTACTCACTAGAGTAGATATGCAGTGCATAAATCAAATTAATGAAATAATTGGAATGGGCAGCTGTAATAAGTTTTAGTGGTAATGATAATAATAATGCTAATAAATTCTGAGGATGCAAAAGTGGTAACTACAGCTTTCCTGTTCTGATGCTCAGAGCACCTTCAAGCCACTGGTGCTATTGGTTCCTCCGTTGCAGAGGTTAATGTCTGTTTTCCTTGCATATTAGACCAGCCATTTGGAAATGGTCATTGAAATGCACCTGGAGTCTACCAAAATGGAGCTTATCCACATAAGGCATCCCATCCCTTCTTGCTGTGCTCCTGTGATGCTAAGGAGCATAAGTGACCTTTTAGAATGATGTTGCACATGTTTAACAGTTACAGCTCCAAATACTGAATGGTTCATGCAAACTGTTTCAAGACAGCAAAGGCTAGTGACCAGATGGGGCTAAGAGACATGATGGTTTGCTGTTAACTGAAGGGAGTAGCTGTGACATGTTACCTGTATGCTAGCCGGAGAATGAATAGCTCCAAAAAAGCAGATTCCAAAAGCAGGTCCTGGTCCTCTTTTGGAAGCTCTAGGAAGCCTTGAATCTTCTCTGCCCATTTTCGGATCACATCCATTGAGCCCGTTAACAGGTCATAGAACTGCTGCACATCCACGCAGTCCTCCTTCTCAAATTGATAGGAGACAGATTCCTGGAACTGACAGCACAAAACAAGCCAGTCTTAGAAGAGAAGCAGAACTTTTCCTGTGAGGTGGCAAACAGTGGCCTTCTTGAGGTCAGCAGCACACATTCTGCAAGGCAGTGCACAAGAGTGGCTTCCCACTCAATGCCTACAATTGGAGGCACACTCAAGAGTTACTTTATTCTCTAAGGAACAGAAGTGCATTCTGTAAAACCCCTCCTGGCACACTTTGGTTCTGCCGGTGCTATCTAGCATGAAGAGCTTCAGCATTGTAAAGTATATGCTCTAGAGCGGTGTTTCTCAACCTTGGCAAGTTGAAGATGTGTGGACTTCAACTCACAGAATTCCCCAGCCCCAGCTGGCTGGGGAATTTTGCGAGTTGAAGTCTACACATCTTCAATTTGCCAAGGTTGAGAAACACCATTCTAGAGGGTGGGCAGGACATGCCACATAAAATTTAAAATGACAGCTGATTTAAGAAGATAAAGTGAAGACTTTACTCCTACTTTATCAGGTTATTGGAGTATGACTGTCAATAATCAAATGCAGTAAAACATCTGCTTTGTCATTAGTCATTGCTAGCTGGGAATTCTGGGATCAATAATTCAAACACTTCATGCATGCTCCCCATAGGAGGTTTTTCTCCTTGGCCCAGGTTGATGCACCACCATCAGGGTGAATATGAACATCAAACCTGTATATATTCAGATATGGAGATTGAATCTATATCCCATGTTCTATTAAAATGTCCACTTTTTAACAATGGCAGTTAAAACTTATAACCCCCGTTATTACGATGTTGAATTTCCCTCATGATGAGGAGATCACTGCTTTCAAGTTATGACTTCCTAAATATTATCAATGACAAAGGCAAAATTTTTATCTGTAGCTTCAGCCCATAGGAACCGGCTGGTGCCTCCCACATAGCTTTATTTTTGTCTTTTACGTAATTTATATATATGATTTTTTCCCTTAATTGCTGTAAACGTCTTAATGTTTGTTGGTTTGTCTTGGACCATAAATCAATAAATAATAATAATCCCAACACTTCTAAAGGTCACCAGATTGGGGAAGGCCAATGTACCTCAGCAGTCCATAAAATATAGCCACTGAACAGCAGCAATTAGCATAACAGTCCCAAAAAATAAGCTAAAGAAGTTGTGGCTGTGAAGTGAAGTGACAGCTGCCACCTTAGATGGCTTAAGCAAATACTACTTGGATGATATTTAAAACAAAAGGATTCTGAATTGTCCCGACAACGTCTAGCTATATAGTCACTGACAAGTTTTAAAAGTAAATAGATATAAAATTACACTAATCCATACACAGTGCCTATCACTGGCTACTAGTTTTAAAATGATACATGAATTGGATGATACTGGATGAGGGGTCTTGGGCTGATCCACCACCATTCTTCTGGTGCAACTTACCTATTTAATTTGGTACAGACATTTCACGCACAATTATTTTGTGTAGTATGCTGGCTTTCTCTGAGCTACACATGGCCAGTCCCCCCAAACCAAGTGTGTATTTTATAAAAAGCAGAGTAGAGAGAAGGAGATACCTGCTGCCTTCTATATAGGAAGCATGAGGAACTTCCAGATCTAGTTATGATCAAATGATGGCAAAAGGATTGAGGTCCGAAGATATCAGGCATATTGTCTCACTTCTCAGTTTCAGAAATTCAACCTAGAAAAGGGTCAGTGTCTAGACTACAGAATCTCCAATTTCCAAAAAACTAGATAAATACCTTGGAATAGTCAAGTTTGGTAGCACTGGGTACAGAATCTATGTGTGCTCTCACAAGAGAGGAGATGAGGCTGACCGGTGAAATATCTTGAGTTTGTTTGGGCTTGGAGGGCAGCCGACCACGTCGGCCTTTCAGGCTGTCTGTCCGCACCACTGAAACAAGAAGAGGAAAAGGGAAGGAGAAGAGAAAGGTGAGAAGAGGATCGTAGGCAAGCAAGAGCTATCACACCAGGAGAAACCCACAGTCTAGGAAGAGCTGCTCCTTTTTCTAAAATCAAGGACCACAAACTGGATCTCAGCCAGAGGCATATGGTGTTACGCTTCTGTGCATCTCAATACCATCCAATGGGGTTTAGAGCTGTGCAGCATTCTATACATTATGAGGGCTTTTCCTAAGGGCAGAATGCAACATTTTCCAAAAGCTGGATATGTTTGTTTTTGGCCTAGTATGTATGTGAACCCAGCCATTCTGGCTTATCTTGCTTTATGGTTTCCTGTGATACACACTTTATTCAACAAATCACATCATGGATTCATACAGTGAGTGACCCCCATCAAACAACCGGACACCCTAGGAACAACTCTGAGCAACCAGAGGAAGTGGTCAGAAGCACTGCAGTTCATCTTCCTCTCACTACATTTTCAGTCTTGGAAAAATCCATGTTTCCACAGAGCAAAGCCATTTTCACTTCCATGGGTTGCCTTCAGTCACAAGGGTCCGAATATCTCAACTCCAGATATGAAGATCTCAGTGTCCAAAACAGAGTACCAATCCCCTCCTGGCCTGAAACCCCACCCCAGTTCTGTACATGATACAGTTCAAGTTGTTTGGCTTAGCATAAAAAGCCAATCAACTGGCCATACTGTAAGTCATGCTTGAAGAGTGGATGTTTCCTACCATTTCAGTCCATCCTGGTGGCCACAAAGAATCCTCCTTTGCAATTACAAATTTTAAATCCTCCTTTGCAATTACAAATACTGGACCAGCCAACTGAATTTCACAACTAATGCAGGTAAAATACTATGCTTTTTTTTTTTTTTGCAGCCAGTTGCCACTTAGCTTGTACATTTTTAATTTGCACTGGGAGCCAAATATCTAATTCCAGTCTCTTGCAGACCTCTCCAACATGGAATCTCCCAGGCATGTGGAAGTTCAACTTTTAAAATAGCTCACCAGCCTGGGCTTCAGAGGGCCTCAGGGTGAGAAGGCTGGTGAACAGGAAGGAACGTGCCTCACCTTCTTTGACCATTCCCACAGCAAGGCACTTCTGGAACCGACAAAACTGGCACCGGTTTCTCCGCCGCTTGTCCACAGGGCAATCTTTGTTGGCTAAGCAGATATATTTGGCATTCTTCTGTACTGTGCGCTATGAGAGAGAACATAACAAGGTTAAACCATTATAAATAAAGGACATTTTAACCTTGGTGACAGGGAAACTAAAGGGTGTTCACTAGATATATATTTCTCACAACATTTTGAAAACCTAGGTGGTTTCTCATGCCATGAGGGCATTATCCTGTTAGCATGACCAAAATCTCATGTTCCATCTAGGTGCACCTTCCATGCAGAGCTAGACCTGCATACCTTCATTTGCAGATAATAATATTCTAATATCACAGAAATTGAAACTGAAAGATGGAAACTGCATGGAGCAAGCATGACAAGAAGCAACTCATCACCTCTGCTAAGAAAGAATGTAAAGTGTTTCTGCTTCAAGCAGCATCTCATGCAGAGACGAGAAATATGCAGCCCTCCAAATGCTGCTGAACTCCCAGCAGCTCCAGCCTGCATTGTAATTGTGAAGGATGTTGGGAACTGTGGTTCAACATCTGGAGGGTCAAACATTTCTCACTCCTGCATTATTGGATTGTGGTATCTACATACTAAGACACACAGCACACACAGTCAAGAGCTGAAACTGAAAAGCATTTTATCTGAGGTGACATTCTCTTTGTGGTGTTAAATTTATGGCAGCCCTGGTGCACCTAAAATCACGGGGTAGTAAACATGTACAAATGATTCAACAATCTGACATAATACAGCTTTCAAGTATTTTGGAAAAGCAGTGATACACCAGAAAGTCATCTTTCCATTGGTGGAGATGCCAAGGGAAGCCAAATTCTTCAGAAGACAGCTCTTTATTCATCCATATGCATTAAAAGGAAGATATGTCTGGGCAAGGGGCAGACCAACCCACCAACTCTAGCTTTCCTACTTTCTAATTTTTCCAAACTTGTTCATTCCATCTTGTTTTTGCATTTAAAAAAAAATCTACTTGGAAATGTATATCCATTTCTCTAAGCATTCCTGCAAGCAAGTTTCTTTAACTTGTGCTTATTTACAAGTCTTTGCAGCAGGAGATTCAGAGAGGAGTAACTGGGGCCCCACAGGGCGGGACTGTGAGGATATATCCATAAAACTGTACAGTGAAATGTCACTTCCTTGGTCAGGAACATTTAACAAAAGGCAACGTAATCAAAATAGGTGTCAGGAGTGTGGAAATGCATAAAGGTTGGAGAGCTTGCAAGTTCTGGGTTCGTCTTCTTCCTCTTCCTGTTCTTCTTCTTTGACTGGATGGAGTCTCTCCTGCTTTCCTTGGGGAACTAAGACAATATTTCCATTTATTTATTTATTTATTTATTTGCTTGTTGGATTTCTATCTCACCTTTCCTTCAGGAGCTCTAGTCATTGTACAGAGCATTCTCTCCTCCTATTTCTCCCCAACAACCACAACCCTGTGAGGTTGGCTGGGCTGAGAGAGGGGGACTGGCTCCAAATCGCCCAGTGGACTTGCACGGCTGAGGGGAGATTAGGACCTGGGTCTCCCTGGTGCTGGTCCAACTATGCCCCAGGTGCCTCAGAGGCTAGACTTGCTCCCTCCGTTGCTTAGTAACCAAGAATAAAGAGACCTGTCTGGGCCTGGTGTGTGTTGGCTGGAAAACCCACCCTAGAAACAGGCTGCAAGCAGAGATGGCACACTCATGGTATCAGAAACCTCTACTGACAAGAAAAGACAAAACACTCTAAACCTTCCGAAATTAATGTTGAAGAAAATTAAGGAGAAAATGGACACAAAGACTGCAATTATATCTGCAAGTTACAGATGCAGAGCAAGAGTCAGGAGACCGTATACATTGTGATGTCGGTACACCATACAGGATAGAAAGCTTCAGAAACAGGAAACAGTCCTCCTAACACTTATGCAGACCCAGCAAACACAACATTAGCAACAGCTCTCACTGCATTTCAAAGGGGAGCCTAGCAGAAGCCCTGTTTTTCAATGGTTCCAGTTTTGGCAACTTCCTAATAGCCACTAGATGACAACCGAGAGATAGAACCAACCTCTCTGCTGCCACCTCTTGGTCACCTGAAGGTTTGCAGCCTCTGCATGGTAGATCGACTCATGAGGAGGCACAGGCAGAGGTTATGTCACCATACTCAAGAGAAAAACCTCAACACTGTACATTTGGAGCCTCTAGAGTGCTACTGCAGTATTATTTTAGAAAATAACATAAAATAACAAGACCTCATTCTTAATTACTGAGATGTTTAAGTGCATCTGTGTTTTGTATACCAGATGTGGTAGTTATGTTACATTAAACTTTGCAAAGTAAGTAAGAGAGCTTACTTTTCAAGTAAGTTAGTATCTGTACGTAAAGCAGATGCAAAGCTGGTTGACTTCATACTAATAATACCAGTATTAAACTTAATGAAGTTTACTTTTGGCAGGGATTCTCATTTCTCCTTTGCCCCAGGGACCCCTTAACCCTTGATCTGTCTCTAAGTAATTTCTCTAATGTAGTGTATTTTTGCAATTTCCTCATTATATAAAGAGTTGTATACATTTTTTTGGTCCAAACTGCAAAAGTCAGAATAAATTTTGTTTTGGTTCATGTATTGACTTGGGAGTTACAAATTAGGTTCATGTTCAAATGTGATCCAAAGAAATTCCTCCCTTGTGTCTACTCTGATGCATTCATCTGTTCTAGAGAAGCCGTTTAATCAAAAAAAGGCATATTCTGATTGCAAAATCAAGTGCCCAGGTTAAGATCTGCATGCTGTGAAACGATGTGCAACTGATTTGCCACATCCCCAAAACACAGCCATGAATCCCCACTCCCCTCTCCCCCCACTTCTACCACATTTCCTGGAATATATCCAAGTTGCAAAGAGTCATCTGATTGCTACACCACCATAACCAACCAAAGTCTCCCTCATGTCATTTTTATCATGTGAAGTAAAGCCAACGGTGTGTGACTTTCTTCATGGAGTTTGTTACATTTTTGTTCAAATTTCTGCTTTTCTCTCCCCTATTGCCAGGGAAAAATGGGATTTCTCTTTAGCTAAAATTGTGGTCCTAGCAACTTTCTTTCACCTCAACCCTGACATCTGCTTATTGTGAAACATCGGCCTGCCATTTCTTCCCATAGCTTAATCCAGATTGGAACTGCAACAACCGTCAACAGGTAGAAGTCCCTCCATTTGTCTCACTATGGACTGGATCCCTTGCCTCAATTAGAAATTTGTGGGGAAGAACAACTGCAGTTAAGGAAAAACTGGGAAGTTACTATCCCCTATGATTTCAGGAATATTCCCTCCATTTTAAGTATCTGGAGATTCTTGGTATTGCTCTTTACACTCAAAACTGATTTCAGAGCCATCGGCTGGTGTGGGTCTTCTGATTTCAGAGCCATTCTTTCTGCCAAGGTCTTGGGGCAGGATAGTCCCCAGTTATTTGCAGCAGAGAACTTTATACCTCTGAGACATGGACACTTTTATTTATGGTTGCAAGGAAGGAGATTTGTTGCCAGCATAGCACAATCCACACCAAACTGGCTCTCCGCAGGACATGTTAAACTACCATCCTATGGTTCTTAGCCGAGTAAATTAAACACATCTGGTGGTTAAAAGATGAATAAGGTTGGATTAGAAGGCCATGTAATCCAAGAAATAAGGTTTAACAATTACCTTAAAATTTGAGCATATGTAAAACCAAGCTAAGGTATTTTGATAAAGCAGTGTTGGTGGTAATACAGCACCTATTAACTCAGTTCTGGAATTGTACCACTGATTTCTAGCAAAATAATCACCAGTATTCAGTGAATCGCAATAGTTCAAGGGGCATTAATTTTACAGTATCAAGGCACCCTTAGAATTACTGGCTGCTTTTCAAAAATCTTAGCTTTCGTGGCTACACACTGGGAAATGCAAGGGCCCAGATGCATGGTCACCTAACTGAGCTCTATCTGAGTTCTTGAAGCTCTGCTCCTCTCCGCTGGCACACACAGAGCCCTTCCCGGAGAGAAGAGAAAGGGCTTTCTCTTACAAGCACCGCTATTCTCCACAAAGGCAGGGAACGCCCTCCATTTCCTATCTTTGCCAAACCACAATGCAAGGGAGAATTCAAGAGACGGAAATGTGCGCTGTTGCGAGGCCTCCTTGCCAGAAAACGCCTGCCCAGGAGAGCACATTAGCGGTTGCACAACGTAACCAAATTTGAGGAATGCAGACCCTGTTGCACTGGTGTATTTTCTGACAGAAGTCAGAAGGGACATCCTAGGGGAGAAAGATCTTTTCTTTTTGGCCAAGCCCAGCCTACGTCAGGTGGAGATTAGACAAGAGAGCCACTCTGTGGGCGCCAAGCATGAAAGCAGTGGGAGAGAAGTCTTATTTCAGGCTTTTCCTTACATTTTGTTATTAAAAAGAAAAAAGGCTTGGCAGTAGTTAACTTGTGGCCTTCTAGATGTTGCTGACTTCCAGTTTGGAGGGTCTTGCTGGCTGCAGCTGCTGAACTTTGTACTTCAGCAACAACTGGAGGGCTGGAGACTCTCACTCTTGCTTTAGCCAGTTTACTGGCTACCCTATAACATCCTGAAAGTAAGCTCGTCCTCTGAATGCTGGTTCTTGCGTAGCCAAAAGAGACATCAGGATGCAGATATCAGCAGGTGTGGGGAACCCCAAAGTTTGCAAAAGGGCTAAGATCTTTAATGAATACTTGGGAGAAGGGACCCCAAAATAGCTCTGTGAGCACAGAACCCTGAATCCCTGAGAGAGAACCCCCCAAAAGGAATAAGGGGAGAGGGAGGGGAAGATAAGGCAGCCTTCCTCAACTTGCTGCCCTCCAGATGTGTTAGATGCACAGCCCTCAGGATTTCCCAGCCAATCCTGTATTGAAGTCTTTCTTGGGCTAAGTGCCCACTCAATAAACTGGGGTCAAACTAGACAAGCTGAACTATATTAAGCTAATTTCAGGTATGCCTGTTTGGCTGTGTTCTCCTCTCTACTGCATACTGGCTACAGGCCTGCCTCCCCTTCTGTATTTGTGGCCTTCCAAAATCTCTGTTCCCAGAAGGGCAGTGTCCATCCCTGGGATGCCAAACCATCTAACAGATCAGCCTTCTCCCACCTGGCATATTACAGGTATGTCCAGTTACAACTCCTGTAATTCATAGCCGGTTCCTCATTTTCTTGCCCTGTGTTTTTTTCAGTGCTGCAAACAGACATTTCAAATTTTCCTCATGGTTTTGCAGATGGTTCCCCATTTTCCAGCTCTTCCCTGAAGACTCTTCCCTGTTTCTTTATGATTTCTGCAGAATGGCCTTCTCCCAACTTGATGTCTGCCAAATCCACTGCACTGTAACGCCTTTAATTTTGTTCTTATCCTTCGCCACCCCCCTTTTTTTACAGCAATCTACAATGCCCACTGAGAAGGAATTCTGTGCACCAAGAAGCTGCTGATTCTTGACTGCTTTAGGTCTCAACAGATGAAATAAGGGTAGCCTCTGAAATACACAGAAGGATTGATATGGACTTAGAGCTTGCCAGAGCTCTTCTACAGCCTCCCGCTGAAAGAATTTTTTTTCCTGCCACCTACCCTTATGAGGGGAAGAGTGCTTACAATGACCTCCTTTATTTAGAAAGCAGTCAGAGAAAGGTCTGATGAGTCATCCCTGTGGCAGCCAACACATAGCAAGGGCTTTCACTTTCCCTCCCTGGAAAAGGAGGCCTTGAAATCCCGGCATTCTGTAGGGACATGTAGAATGTTGGGATTGTCTTCAGCCAGCCAATCCCAACCTGGTGCCCACCAAATCAGTTGAGACTACAATTCCTCAACTATCATAGCATTTAGCCATCCTGGTTGGGAAATTCTGGGAGTGGCTGCTTCAGGATGACTGGAAGACCACTGGCTGGAGAAACTGGCTTTAACAGCACCAGAAGTTTCAGAAGCAAGTTCTAATGTGAAATGATTTATTCCTCTTACCTTGAAAAAACCCTTGCAGCCCTCACAGGTCCGGACACCATAGTGTTGGCATGAAGCGTTGTCCCCACATACAGCACAGCGCCCTTCATTGGATCCAGGGCTGCGTGTCTTTGTTGGAGAGAGGGAACTGTCCATTAGGCCAGAGCCATCCAGGCCTGGAGAAGCCTGGCTGAGTGGCAAAGGAGAAAAATTGACTGAAGAGGAGGTTTGTGGGAGTGAGAAGACTTCTCCATCCACCAAGTGCTGGTGGGGTGCTGGCTGCATCTTCAGAGGACTCTGGGGTGGGACTCCAGGGCTGTGAGCCGAAAGGCCAAAGGAAAAATAAGATGGTTGAGTAGAACTACTTTTGGGAGGCTCTGCTGCTGTTGCTGCTGCCACCCAGGGCCTCATGCCCTCATAGGTATGAGAGGGGGAATAGCTTCCAAAGGAGTTCTCCCAAGTTGGCCCTTGGGAAGTCTGGAAACTTGGCGTGGAAGGGGAAGGGACTGAGCATGGACTGCCATAATAGTCTGAGCCGCTTGAGGACATGGTCTCATCCAACTGGCTGCTGAAAGGGCCAGGATAACAACCATATACTTGGAAATCTTCCAGCTTGAAAGATGTGGTATTGGGGTTTGCAGCTGGAATCTGATAGAGGAAAGCGTCAAATTCGCCTGTATAATTGTCCATGAAGGTGCTGAAGCTGGGCAGAGTAGTAGTGGCAGCAGAGATCTCGGTATTGACCAGGTCCATGGTGGGTTTGCCAAGCTCAGGGGTCAAGAGGTCTGCTGGGTAGCGCTCGCAGGACCCTCCGTTCTGAAGCAAGGTCCCATATTGCGTTTGGATACAGGGCATCTCTAAGGGAAGAAAAGGGTATGGGGAAGGAGAAGATCTACTGTTAGATATTGGAGATGCATAAAAGGTCCTCCAGAGTAGAGGTTAGCACTGTCTGTGTTCCAATTTGGAAACTCTTATGAATTGATTTGGCAGAAAAGAAAAGTGATCTTAATGGTGCCATAAAAAGGGAAGGTCTTATAACTGTACACGAGATTTGCCTGACCTACTGACTACCAGAAGTGTTAAAATGATAAACAGCTAACACAAGATTCTGGGAGCTGTTGTCCCAACAATGTGGTGGGCCAGAGAAGGCTGGTCTCCACTAGATACCCTCACAAATATGACAGGCTTTTATTCACATCAGGACAAATGGCTACTTCAGATTTAATACAAACCAAGTCCTTGGCCTTGGTCCTCCCTCTTGTACCTATTCTAAACTTTTATTTACAGGAGCGCAAATGAGGGAGGAAAGAGTTTGGGGCCCTTGTTAAAAGGAGGGCTAACATTTCTGATGCACTCTTTCTTCATGGGAATGTTAGGAGGACAAATAAGATGTGCTTCTTCCTTTCTATCCCAGATATTTCTCTCCACCAACCCAAGAACAGCTATTTACTACTCTGCAGGATTAATCACCATGTTGAAATTTGGAATAAATGATATTTATTGACTCTTGCAAGTGAGTGGTGGTGGTTTTCTTGTCACACACTTAATAGGTTTGCATCTAAGTTCATTTCTACATCTTTTGCTTCATTTTTCCTCTTGTTTAAATTGTTATACTGTACAATTTCTTAAATTTTCTAGACATCTGAAGCAGCAGTTATATATGTAAGATACCACTTCCTAGGTGATACAAGGTATGCCATGAAGAGCCCCACTAGGCACGCCCCGTAGAAGATTCCTGTGTTTTTGTCTCATATTAAAAATACTTCTGCTAACACAAGAGACAGTAAAAGCAAAGATAAAACCACTCTTTTGTGCATCCAGAAAAGCCACTCTTCTAAAGCAATAATGGGACATTATGATGCAGACCCAGCTGTACATTTGCAGACACTCGATGTACCTCCTGTTCCCTGCCCATCTGCTTGGTTGGTGTCACTGCAGAGAATGCGGGCCAAACAGTATACATGATCAACCAAGTGTTTTGATGAGGAAAGAAAGGAAAATGAACAAGGCAAGCGAACAAGAAATGCAACAAACACAGAAGGAACAGGAACCCCGAATTTTATACTGGCTTCTCTCCCAATGTGGGAGATAAGAACTAAAGCATTAAGCCAACGGCATCATGAAAGAAACAGGCAAGCATTCTATAAAGGTGTTCTAGGTGAAAAGACAGCAAATTTCAAGAACTTCCTCATGAAATTTAAAAGACTGATGCAACCATCTGTTTACCTAAACAACTTCAAGCTTTAAATGGCAAGGCCACCAAGATATTAACACCTGATTAAAGTTCATAATTGTTCTTGTTTCCTTGCAATGCCTGGAATTCCCATAGCTTGTTGAAGCTTGATTTTGAAATTTCTGTTGCCGCTATTCATTCCATCTTAATTTTCCAAACTTGGAACCATCAATATTCCAAAGTTCTTGAAACAACTTGACATATAAAACGAAGTGGAATTCAGTTTGGACTCAGCTACAGATCGGGCCTTTCCCCAATATTATAAGGCAACATGGTTTTGAAAACCTGAATTTCAGGTTGGTGAACCAAGGAGCCAAGAACCAAGAAAAAAGGATGCAAGGCAACGTACTGAATATTCCCTGCCCCCAAATTAAGTTTTTCTCTTATCTTCCCAATGAATAGCCTGTACACAATGCCCAAGCCTAGAAACAACAACTCTGTTCTCTCCCATGTCTCAATCAGTCCAAGTATAAAAAAAAGAAATTTTAAACGTGCCTGCCTTGCCAGAGGGATGGAGGAAAGCTATATAAAAAAGGAGGTATTAGTCATGTCGTATCCTACTTGATTATCCCACTTCTACCTTACTGTGGTCCTTTGTTTGAAGGAGATCCATCTAAATGTTTGATCTGGCCCTTAAACAGCAGCCTCAGACAAGGAACATGAAAACTGGACCTGCTGTGGAGACAGGATCTCAGAGCTTTTTAATGTCTTTCAGAATGGTGCAAAAGAGGAATCATAACTGGAAGTGTTAGCCAAGATGAAAGTCAAGTCTGTAGCAGCAACTCTTGCGGCAAGATGATAATGTCAGCCGTATCGCTGACCTCTAAAGGTTAGGTCCTGTTAGCAAAAGCTGCTGCTTTAACAGAGGAAAGGATTATGGGATCTTGAGACACAGAGAATTCCAAGGAGACTTTTAAACCCTGCTCCGCTGAAACAAGGCCATCAACCATTTCTCAGGGGGACCAGGGCTCCTTTTAGTAGCTCGGCGTGCAAATCTTTAGTCGGAAATAATTCCTCCCTCCACTAGTTAAAATAAATCAAGGATCACAGCAAACCTGGAATCTGGATGGGTAAGAACTATGTCACCCAAGAAGTGGCTAGCTGATCCAGTATTGAACTTCAATTAAAAAAACAAAACAGAACAAAACTGAAGCCTGCAGCTTCTTCTCAATTTGTCAGGAGGATCAGGTGGTGTTGACACAAGCATGCATATGCTGTGGCCGACAGGAAAGCCACATCATCAAAGGAAACAGAGAAAAGAGCAATCAGGAGCCTTCGTGGTCCTAAAGTACCAAAAAGAGATTCTGAAAAATGATTGAGTGACATCTTTTTATGAATGTGGTTCCTATTACGGTTTTTCACTGTTAATCTGTCCCCAAATGCTAGCAAGGTGATGGAAGAGTTCAACCTGCGTGTGAATGAATATCCACCTGGATGCTCCCTACCCCAAACTCCAGAAGGAGAAGTGGCAGAAGCGCTGGCTGATTTGAGTCCCTTGCTGAGACAAGGTTTTCATTTACAGCCTAGGTCGGCTGATTCTGCTCGACCACTTTCCTTAAAAGAAAAGATCATGTTCATGTATCTTTGGAACATCAGCGTGCTGGCATAGCCCCCCTGCACACTCACTGATGCTATCTGATCTTGTTATTCTGCATTCCTAAAATAGAACTTTGATATCCAATTGTTAAAACTTGTTATGATTTACACACTGTTCCAATGTAGCAACGGACGATACCCAGGGCTCCTCGTAACACAGGATTTATTAGCGTACTCTCCCCAGAGGAAGTCCTGACGTCTGCAAATGTGCGAGAGCAATATCTCCCTAGGCAATGCAGGACCAGGGAGCTCCATTACACCAGCCTGACTTCTAATCTTAGAAATTGCTGCTAGCACCACTGAGCACAAGGGCTGATTGGACAGCAGATATCTAGCGAATAGGAAGGGTCAAGAGTGGGCCTTTTAGCGCAAAGCTAGGTATGATACTTCTCATGTTATTAGTCCTTAGTGTGCAAGCTTTTTAAAAGTCTTTTAAAAAAAAAAGAAGAAGAAGCAATCGTCAACTGTTTTATCCAGTCTGGGACCATTTAGTCCTTTGTGATACTACTCTAATTTGGGCCCTTCCCTCCCTCCCCCACCTTTTTTAAGCCTCCATGCTAAACCTATATAGAACAATGTCACAGCTATATTGGTCTACAGCTCCTGCAGGGAGGGGAAAAGGACAGCGCTTGTAAATTAGAATAAGAATTCAAAGAAAATGGCTTGATTGATAATACTAACTTTCCCCCTGGGCTTGAAGGCATAAATATCAAAATAAAATTAAGAAAGAGTAAAGACAAAAGGGCTGAAGAGCAGCCTTGGCCCACTCATGGACTGAGAAATCAACAGTGGAAACATATTACGTTCTGAAAGTACACAATAAAATTGAGCTAAGTGAGGTAGAATCTGAGAAAGTCCACTGCTGTTCCATCATTTTTGCCAAGAGTCTCCATACGGAAGGTCTCGCTTCACCATACTTTTGCTTAGTTGCTGTTGTCCTAGAAATGTGCATCATCATCATCATCGCCATCATCATCATCATCATCTATTAAACTTGTATGCTGTCTGACTCTCCATGACACTGTGGTGGCTCACAACAATCAAAGAAATTACAATCAGAATTTTTGCTCCTAGAATATGGGCGTTATAAAAAAGGAAATTCTCTGACAATGGAGTAGGGTGGATTAGCTTTTAACCAGCCACCTAAGACGTACTTGATATGCAAATATTAGCAAGAGAGGATACTCCTCTGAACCCGGATGAGCACTGCCTGCTGACTTCTGTACAGATTAGTCATTTGAAAAAGAGAGAAGGGCAGGTAACACTCTCCTGGTGAGTTGACAGTCCTGTAACAGAAGACTGAATCCACCCAAGAATTACCTGGGTAGATAGCAGCTGGACCACCAGATACCTCCACACTGCTCTTGAAAGCAGGTGAAGGAAGAATTCTCTTCTGGGAGTGGCAGTTTTTCCCACTGTGGCCAGACGGTAATTTTGACGGGGATTCACCAGAAAAGGCATTTCAAGATATTTCAGTTCCTCCCTTTCTCAGAGCTACCTAGCTGCCTAAAAACACTTCGATTCACGCATATAGGGCTGGCGCTCCAACCCTTTCCCACAACGCGTCACAGCCAGGGAAGCAAGTGACAGAAGAACCGGAATTAACCTCCTCTGCAGCAAAGGACCCTGTTGGAAGCAGAGGCCTCGAAGCACCAGTGCCTTCTTCCTGCAGGCATGGTTGCCATCGCTTTCTCCTCTGTGTATTTCTCTCACAGTCTTCCACTATCTTCCAGTGGAAACTGCACAGCGTTGCTATAACGACACACTCACCTCTTTACCCTGCGAGCCGCCCCTTTGAGAGTCTTGTTGTTTTAGCGCGCAAATGGCTCCTGCAATCACCGTAAAACAGATGCAGCAGCAGATGTGCTACTTACTATCCCTGCCTGATGGGCACAGCAGCCTTTCTGCAGAACTTTGCCACCCTGCACATCCCCCATCGTTTGACAGCTTCCGTGTACCTCCCTGGTTTCAAAGGTCGAGACAAAAGCAAAGGCACTAAGAGTACGTAAGACAGAAGCCTAACCGGATCCCCACTGCAATCAGCAGGACAGAAAGCTTCAGGGCCAGGGAGCCAAGGACTGCTGCCTGGCTGGCCCCAGAGAGTTGTCCTGGGATAGAGAGGCTGAAATCTCAGCCTAATATACTAATTCCCCCAACACTTAAGAGCCAACCGCTAAGTTCTCTGGGACAACGGCAGCTATAACCCGATGAGGGCAGAGATGTCTGCTTTTGGAATGGGAAATCTATGCCTTCAAGATGTGGCTGAACTATAATTCCCCACAGCCCAAACCAGCCTGGCCAACAGCAAGGGATGCTAAGTGATAGAGTTTAGCTATATTTCACAAGGCGTCCATCGCTGCTTTGGAGGAACAGCCCAGAGGCCCATCATTACAGCATTCAAGATAGCCCTACAATTTGCTCCCAGTTTGTTGTACTGGATTTAGAGATTGCTCAAGAGTGCCCTCTGCTGGAGTTCCAGAACAGCAATGACAGATCAACTTCCTGGCAACTTGATTACAGTATGCTGGGTTCAAAGCTAATATAAAACCACTGAAAGATTCCTAACACAGTAAGCAAAAACTGGCACGATTCAGCATAAATGATCATGCTGTTTCCGAGAAGAAATACTCACCAGCTTAAGGAAACTTGCAACAAGGAACAGACTGTTATTGTCAGTTTGACAATGGGTGGAATTATCTAAAAGAAGCTTTTCTTGTTGAAAGCTACAGTATTTCTTCCAGGCTCAAATGTTCCAGAGCTGAATCCGCTGCTTGTGCTCAACCCCATTTGAACAAGGGCAGATGGATTCTGGCATTAGATGTACAGCTCTCCTCTGCTATACAGAGACCCTTTTCCTGCTTTGCATGTTTCCTGTGCTTTTAACAGCTGCACATCAAGGTATTCAACAGATGCAGCTTTCCACAGCATATAAATGGCAGCAATGAGAAAACCTGCAGCTGTCAAGATGTCTGATCTGCCAGAAAGGATAGTCAACACCACTCAAAGCTATCAATGGGAGAGGTAAGTAAGGGCTCCTTTCCAAGAGACCAACCCCAATGCTGTTTTTGTGTAAACACAAGCTTTTTAAAAGCTGAAATAACCCAGCTGGGATTTTCCCACTTCCTGTGATCAAACAATGGAAAAGGGTAAAATAATTCCTATTTCCCAGATTTTTGTCTTGACAATAGCAATTTTCCTTGAGAGAAGTGTCTAGAGATGACATAATGAAGGTAATTGGTTCTCTTCTTAACTAAGTCTCCATTCTAGGCAGATTTGCCTGGGAGTAAACCCCTTAGAACAGAGCTGCCCTTATTGCTGGGTAAATATGCACAAGATTGTGCTATGCGAAACAAATCCAAGCTTTTGGAAACGCTGTGCTTACCACACATCGCTCTACAGGGGCTGCTGAGATTATACTAGGATTCAACCCATATTGTACCCCTAGGCTTACTGGTCTCAATCTAGGTTTTCAAATCTCCTTCTTAATGATTCTGGGGTGGCCAAGTCTGCTAAAGGAGGTGCTTACAATGGACAAAGGAAAGACTGTGGTAAGTGGACTTCTTCAGCCTTTGAAGTCCAGCGCAGACTTGGAAACAAGAGGAGCCCAGCCACAGCAAAGGCTGCCAGGTGCTCAAACCTGATGCAGCACCTGTCGCTCTGAACACGCCAGGAACTGCAAGCCCTTCACCCCCCTGCAAAGCCACATGAAAGCACCAGGGCAGGAGCATTCCTGATTTATGTCCTTCAACACCTGTGATGGTACCAAGCTGCTCAGCAAATTAACCCACAAATGTGTGTGCGCACACACACACATGCACACAATAAAAAGAGCATCTCTTTTGAAAGGGAAGGAGAAAAAAAGAGAGAACATTAGAAACATGTTCCAAAGACGCCCTCTATATACCTTTTTTGAAAATATGGGGAGGAATTTCTGCATCCAGGAAAGGAAAGTGTAAATGTGCATACATGCGGCACACACACACAGGCACACACACTACACACAGAAAGGTGAACAAAAATTCTGCAGCTAAAGGAGGACTAGCTGTCTCTGACACTCTGCAAGCAGAGTGACAATAAGAGTCTGGCACAAGCAGCTCTTCCATAATGATCTTCCAAACAAGAAAAAATACACGTGAATTTCTTTTCTCAGTTTGGTTTGGGCAGAATTGATATATTCAGCCTGATGAAGAAATATCTTCCGATGTCTAGGAAATTAGAGACTGACCTGTTTGTCTCCAAAACACGGGCACAATCAAAACATGAGGCCTTGCATCTGGATGCAGTTTTAATCACAGCACACAAGCACTAGATGTATGATGTATTTCGCGTATCAAGCATTAGATCACTGTTTAATATCACAGTTTTTCTTCTAAAAGAGACGACTTCACTTTTGCCCAAATGAGGTGTCCATCCTGTATTGCCATCACAATCAAGGTCACAGGAGATAAAAATGGCAAAATGCACCCAGTCACTGGCACACATCTGCCAGGGCTCCCACAAGCTCAGGTTACAGCAACTTTGTCCTTTAAAATGCAAATGTAGACTTTTGAAAACTGCTTTTTGAAACAAGTGCACCATTATAGTTGCCATCAGGCCAATCCAAGACCCCAGCCAGATCCTCTTGCAATTCAAGCTTCAAAGTACAAATACCTCTTTTTAAGGAGAAAAAGCCTGCCCTTACAGGATTAGTCCAGCGGTTCATGATTTTTTGCCTTCTTAAAAGTTGAACCTTAACCCATGCTTTCAAGTGTCCCATATTACATAGGAAGAGCCAGGCAGATGAGATCTTGGCCGTTCTAGTAACTTTCTAAGATCTGCAAATCAAAACATCCCTATTTGAATAATCATATTGCAATTCATGCAGTTAAAATATGAATAAGCAACAGAAGCCACCACCGCTCTTCAGGGATAAACCCTACTTTGCTCTTGCAAAATGACTTGCACATCCATACTTCACTCAGCACGCGTTTGCTGCTATTAGAACGGCCCTACTCACTATTTACACTTCCTTTCCACTTTGCAGTACGGCAGATGACAACATGCAAGCGTGTATTTCCCACCTCGCCCGCAATCCTTGCGCCCTAACTTTTCAACATGCAAGATTCCCTCCGATCCCCGAAAGGATTCGCGGACTACGAACTTCTCTCCCCCCTGCTTTTCCCCAGTTGCACGCCTCTCCCGATCTGATAAAAAAGCACCCTTCGTCCTGCAAACCAGCCTATTAAGTCCTTCTCGAAAGCCACGGAGCACTTCTGCGCCTTACGAAAAGTAGACGGGGTGGGGGGGTGACAATAAATCCACAACCTACCCAACGGAGCTCAAGAATCTAGCTGCAGTCTCTTCCACTTTTACATATGAAGGTGCGGGGAAGTCGGTTTGTGTTTAGAAAACCCAAGTGCATCGGGAGGCGCCGATTCTCGCTGCTGCTGCTGCTGCTGCTGCTGCCGGCGCCGCGCAGATGAAACCCCAAGATAAGAGCGAGCGAGCGAGCCCGCGCGGGAGCGAGCTGCCTACAGTCTAGACGCCGACTAAGCCACTGGGGCTCACCAGCCCGTGGCCAGGAGATTCTCTTAAGCTCTCTGTGACGCAGAGGCGAAGGGGTGGGCAGAGGAGGAGGGGGGATCCTCTGACGCACGCGCCCGGCTGCAGCTTTCGCCATACAAGGCAAAAAGGGGCGGAATGTTCCGGCGCCCTCGGAGCGAGGGGCGGGATCGGAATGTCTGCGCGGGTGACGCACACGGGGTTCCATTGACGCACGCCTTGGAATTGTTTGATCTAAAAATAGAACGAGCTGCCCCCAGCTAAAAATAGAGCCCTTTCCTAAGCAAGGATTTGATGGTGGGGGATTAAAAAAGAGGAGGAGGAAGAGGAGGAGGGAGCGAAAAGAGTGTCATAGGAAGAACCGGAGCAGAAAGGTCCGAGGTACGGAAATGAAGGGCCGGTCACAAGCGAAGGGGGGCTCGGGATGCACAAAGGAAGCGCAGTTTCAGAGCCACTTTCTCAACTTTCTTGCAAAAGCTTTATGGCCTCGGCCCCTGTCCCTGCAGCACAGCCGCGCCTTGCCACGCCTTTCCCCCCCGCTTCCAACAGTCCACGACCCTTGCCGTTCTCAGGGCAAGTCCACACCGTGCCTCGCTTCTGTACTTCCCGAGCCTTTCCTTTCCTTCCCTTCCCTTTCCCTCTTCCAGTCTCTTAAAAGTAGTCTCCTCCCTCTTCTGCTGGCGATGAAGGAGACGACAGCCACGCTATTCTCACGTACCCTTGCAGAGACGTGGAGATTTTGAGCAGCCGGTGTCCTAGTGGCAGAAGAAAGGTGGAAGCCGAAAAGGGGCTCTCCGGGGCACACCCGCCTCGGAGACACTGCAAACTCTTGAGGATGGCTCCAGATGGGAAGCTCGGAGCAGACCTGTTCCGGACGCATGGTCCAGCTATACCAACCACATTCTCTCCCTTGGCAGAACTGGGGTAGCTTTTAATGGGAACTTTCTTGGGACGGGGTCCAAACATGGTTGACTGTGGAGTCCTCGGGGTCTCTGAGCTTGGTTGTTTTCTTGCAGACGTTTCCTTACCCGGCTAGGTAACATCTTCAGTGCTAGAAGGGAGTGAGGTTTGCTCTCTGTTTATATGCTGTGGCATGCCCTGCCAGTGTTGGTGGGGGTGTGGGTTTTCCCTCTTGGTATTTGATTAGGGTATTGTTAACACCAGACAAACAATCAAGCAGTAAACAACAGCCTAATCAAGGAACTACCAGAGGAAAAAATAAAACAAAATAAAACCCCCACCCCACCAACACTGGCAGGGCATGCCACTGTATATAAACAGTGAGAGCCAACCCCACTCCCTTCTAGCACTGAAGACGTTACCTAGCCGGGGAAGGAAACATTTGCAAGAAAACAACCAAGCTCAGAGA